TAGTGAAATGAATAAAGCTTGGGATGTGCATATTATGAGAAGGATAAATTTGATCATTGAGGGTCGAAATTTGAAATACTTTATGAATTTATGATGCTTTATATGAATCTTCAAATGCTTGGATCAGTGGAAATTAATTTTACCATTGTGATTATAAAGCAATTCATAGTTTTGATATAGAAATTCTAATCTTGAGACCAAAGATACTTGTCTAATCATGTTGTTTGTAAAAAATTTTGGTGTTAAGTTGAGCTTTATTTTGTTTGAAAACAAACAATTATTCAAATTTGAGGGTATTGATAAGTATAATTTACACTTACCTAGCTCGTTAAACTAGATCAATTATTGTTAATTTGCATGAATTAAAACTTAATTTTATATTAACTTCATTTTTAGGTAAAATTCAATGATTGGAAGTGAAATTAAAAGAAAAGAACAAAGGGACGAAAAATGGGCGAAAGGGAAAATTCAAAGTTCGAAGACCAGAGTGCAAACATCCAATAGTTGATTTGTACCACAAAACGATTATTGAAGTCACATAGAATCTTTTGGATGCAAGTGGAGGTCGAATGCGTGAAGTTTAGTATTTTCATAAATTAATTTCTAGTAAAGTTATGCTCTAGATTTTCAACCTTATTTTGAGACCCATTTTTGACATATAAAATGTTCAACTTGAAAAAAATGATACCTCTAGATGAATTGTGGTTTTTTTAGTTAGATTTTCAACATAATTTGAATTTTCTTAATTGGATATTGAAAGAGGAAGTTATGATAAAAATCAAGTAACAACTTAAGGACGAATTGTGTAAACCGATGCAAGTTAAAAGATCAATTGAGAGCCAAAACTCTTCACAACGTGAAGGCAAGCAATTGGCCGGTGCACTTGAGTAGGCCAACTTTCGTCTGATGAGCCAATTTTCATTCTACATTTCAAACTTTATTTGAATCCAAATTGGACGTAATTTTTACCTAATTTCTGAATCCCATAAATGCTAAATGTGGGCCAGACGTTAAGGGATCTCCCTCTAGCCTCTTAATATCATATCGTATAATTAAATTCATCAAGAACAAAAGGCTAATCCACTAATTTTGAGAGACACGATCAACCTTAGCAAGTAATTGAAGGTCAATTACATAAAAAGTTGAAGAACTCAACATTGAACTTGAAAATCAATATCAATTGCATTATTTCATAATTCAGGTGATATTTTTCTATTATTTCTCTTCTAATTTATACAAATCATACTATGCTAGACTCATTTTTGTATGGGATGAAGATTAATCTTATTATTTATTTATTTTAATTCATGACCAGCAAAAGGCTAATCCACTAATTTTGAGAGACACGATCAACCTTAGCAAGTAATTGAAGGTCAATTACATAAAAAGTTGAAGAACTCAACATTGAACTTGAAAATCAATATCAATTGCATTATTTCATAATTCAGGTGATATTTTTCTATTATTTCTCTTCTAATTTATACAAATCATACTATGCTAGACTCATTTTTGTATGGGATGAAGATTAATCTTATTATTTATTTATTTTAATTCATGACCAGTATTAATTTTGCATACATATTGCATTATTTAATTCTTTGAACATCAATTAGATAATTATTTACTTGTTGTAGTGTTAGACGGCTCACAATAAGTTTAGAATACGGTAAGATTAACACACAGGTAATAGATGTTAAGAATAACAATATGCGGTGTGCAATCATATAAATTATTTAAAGCTTAATGTGTTCTAATCTAATCATTTGAAATCGTACTAGGAATGAACTCTGATCGTGATTTAAATCGAATTAATTTATCTTAAAAATAAAGTTAAATACATTAATTTTATCGATTGTCAATAAAGCATGAATAAGATTAAATTATAAATTAAGAATTGAAATAGATAACAATAGGTGGGTTAATAATCCAACACAATCATCCATCCATTCATACAAATCAAAATTTTTACATATTTCCTAGCATAATTTAGAATAATTACAAATCAGAACTCTTTTGTGTTATATATTTTCAATTCAATAAAAAACTAGTACACTTGAATTAGAATTTATTTCTTGTGGAATGATACTCTCAAGTCAATATTCTATTGTCAACGATCTCGTATACCTACGAACTCGCACGAACACCCTAACATCTCAATTTTTTTATGTGTTGCTTAAGTATAAAGTTATATAATTTGATGATCAAATTGGATTTCTTTCAAATCTTGAACGGGCTATCAATATGCAATAAAGACGGTAGAATCTGCAACTTCTGGGAAGATGAAAAGGAAAGAAAAGAAGGCATATGAGTTTGTTTTCATGTGCTACCATATTGAGTCGAAGTCATTGTACATAAACAGTTTTCGTAAAGTGCAAATTCTACCAAACACCTGTATTTTAATAAATAATTAAACATTACTTTGTTATTATTATTTTTTTTTTCAGAAAATTATAGTAAAAACAAAACTTGAAAACTATTTAAATCATATAGGCGTATAATTAAGGTAGGTAAATTTACTCCGACAAAAAAGACTTTAATGTAGTTAATTAATATGGAAATCCCTAATTTGGAGTCTATTCATCTTCCTCCGAAATTGACTCCATCGAGAATCACTCTCCAAAAAATCCAGAGTCTGGAAGTGTTGATGTGTTTAGATAACAAATACAGATTTAAAACATGAACATAATCAAATTTTTCAAAAGTGTTGATGTATTTATAATCTATGAAAAAAAGCCTCCATTTGAACTTGAAACTGCAGCATCATATACTCGCAAAGAACGGTTTCGTATGAAATGTTTTGAACCATAACATCATTTCCCTGTAAATGAAGTACTTACTAGGCATCCACTGATTGTGCAGTTGAGCTCAAACATGATTCTTGCTTGCAATGCATATAGAATGTAAAACTTATATTTGGGCCATTGCCACAACTCTTAGGCGCATGCTTCATACAGATAATCAACATAAACCGACCGTTTTGCTACAACAATTATACTGAATATACAAAGATCAAATTTGGACATGAAATGTATATGTTGATCATCATATTTCACTCTAAAAGATTATGGATTTTCTTGACTTGCATTGTTGAGTGGTAGATACTTTCTCAAGTTTATGTTTTGATTTCTATCTGTTCACCTGATAATTGATGTATAATCTAGGATACTATAATAACATGAAAAAATATCCAGAGAAAAAATCCGACAAAATATTGCAATTGCAACTCTAGTTCATCACTTGTTGAAAAAAAAAATAATAAATAAATAAATAAAATCGATCGTCTTTGCCCATCTTCAGTTTTCAAATTAAGTTTTCTGATTTTGGAAGTGGTTAGGACCTTGCTGTTTGTACAAGGAGGGTTTGACACCCTTCTTGACAGAACAGACTCATAGGAGATCGGGGGAGCAATTTTTTCTCCTTTTTTTTTCACTCGAGTCCCAAGCGGGTCCCACGCGAATGTGAGAATCTGTGAAGAAGATGGTAAACCATTTTTCTGTACAAATGGTATTTTCCTTATAGAAGTTAGTATTTTTAGATATATTTCATACATCAACCAGTATTTTTAGTTTTATTAATATAACGTAGTAAAATATGAAATATTATTTTATAATGATGTGAATACAAATTTTTCCATTTTCATAAATGATTTGTGATGAGACTCCAAGACTTCAACATCAATTGAGTCTTAAAAACCAATCTTGCAGCGTTATATTATCTCACTTAAAAGTTAATTTTCAAGTCTCCGTGCCACCATTTATGAGAATTGTACATATATCAAGCAATGTTAGGGACGTTTTACTCTATAGTTTGAGCCTTTAGACGATATGATTTAACGAGTATGAATACTGAATCCTAAAAATTGTCTAGTTCAAAATCTGAAAGCTGACTTTTCTCGTCCAAATTAATTGCCTACAGATAAACCTGATTGAAGTAAATGCTTTGAACTTCAAGGGAAAAACAGCTCTTGACGTGGTTGAAGCAGAAGCAACTCTGGCGCCCGAGTAATTGTCAATTTCTAAAAAGTTGAAGTAAAAATGTTGTAAGGCTGAATTCAGGGCCAAACAAGAACTTAGGGTCCATTTTATTGTAAGAATGAAATTTGGATAAAAAGAAAACGAATTTCAAAAAATTAAATTGTCTAGAACTTGTTCTACTGAGAATTATCAACTAAATGTGTTTAATTGATAAAAATTTTCACTTGAAAAATGTTAAAATTTTGAATCTTTTGGTATTCTTTTAGCTTGGTTTTTCATGAAAATTGTCAATTAAATGGATATAATTTATTACAATTGTGGATAGAATTTGTTTCAATTGCCATTAAAAAAAAAAAATTTTAAAAAAATGATGTAATACCCAATTCCCAGCAAAATCAAAGGAAATTGAATTCCTTAAAAGCCAAGAAAATGTAGTCACGTGAGGGGTAATTGGAAAACCAATTCCATGAAATTTTTTGGCCGTCTAATATACATTTTTGGGTGGAAATGGAAAATATTTTCCATTTTCGCATGGAAAAACAAGCCTATCAAACAGGCCCTTAGAATCATCACGTTCCCCATCATTGTCATCACAAGGAAAATCATAAAAAAAAAAAAAAAAAAGATATTTAATCTGCTTGATCTCTACAATAAGAGTCTACCGTAACACCATAACAATTGTTGCAATTCTAATAGCAACTGTGACACTTGCTGCCTGCATAAACCCTCCCGAAGAATTCAGTCAAGAAAATGAGAATGCAGTTTATGAAAGGCAAACTTCTTTTAAGGTATTACTGCTATGCAATATTGCAGCTTTATTCCTTCTGTTTGCATTATGAATGTTCTTGTAGGCATTATTCCTTTCTAGAGGAAATCCATGATGAAATTGCTAATAATTACTCACAAGGTAATGCAATTGAATACTGGAGAGACAAGTCCATAAATATTAATACTTTGTATTTCATTAATTGAAATTTTAAAGCAAAGTATGTAATATTTGCAGAAAGTGTGTATGCTGAAAGCTCCTTAACGAACCGTGTATCCTTAACCAAATCTATACCGTAGTTAATTTATACTTTCCTGCAAAATATTTCACAACACATCTAGCTTCAAGCGGATTCAGCACGCACGAAAATTATATACAGAACATTCAGCACATACCAAGAAAATCAAAATATTTTCTGATGCTGAGATCCTATGTCATTGCCTCAAAAAATTCAGCCAGCTACAGATACATCACTTTGAACTTTCGACCACAACTTTCTCCTTAGAAAATCAGACAGCAGCTTGATTGCGGCGCGTCCTTGCTCCAGACACTGAAATTAATTGTTCACTGCGTTCAAACGTATGCAAGCTGTAAGACATCTGGAGACAATATAAAACAGGCATATGTTCACGCCCCTATATTGTAATTATTTCAAAGAACGAAAACAATGTGACATACATTTGAGGGGCGCGGAGAGAGCATAATGTATACCAACAGGCCTCATGATTGCTTAAGCTTAAAAGGTTTATTTACAAGTGTACTTATTGGAAATTAGTTTGAAACTAGATATTTTATAAGGGCGAAAGTTGGATTCAAGAGTAGCTTAAGAGTTACTTCTAAAAGAAGGAACTTCTTTTACTTAAAATTAGAAAATTCCAAACATGTTTGGAGACGAAAAGTCACATAAAAATAACTTCACATTTTATGTATACCTAGCCAAACATGCTATGTATTGTACTGCATGCTCATCCATGACAACAGCAACAAGACAAGGGATAAGGAATCAGGATATAAGCTTGATGTCAGCCTACTACTATCAGTTAATATGCGAACATCCAAGTTCCACAATATAAGAAATACTAGTGCAAGGCAGCGATTCTTAAACTGCTAAGAATCTGCTTAGCAGTTCACACCCAATCACTACTGTGAAATAGCAAGGAATCCAATGTATCCCCTACTTCTACCATGAGTTTATAGTAATAGAAAGTGTTATATGTATTAAAAGATAGGGTAAGAAGTATGACAAATACCTGTCATCACACCATGAGTAACAGATGTGATAACTCCATTTTCAATTTATTCTCCTACTTCCACTGATTCTTCATCAAGTACAGACAGAATCGAGTTTCAGAAAACTAAATAGACCAGTGCCTTCATACTCTGCCATGTTTTATGCAAGCACATAGTGAGAGAGATTTTTAGGTACAATTTATATAGGTGAAGAATCAAATATTTGTTTCACATGGCACTGCATGGATTCAAAAGGGAGGTATTTCTCACTACCATGCTACAAACAAAAGCGGAAGTTGAACATACACAACAGCATACCGGCTGCAGGAATGAACGGTAAAGTGACTTGTGGTATATTCTTGATATCTATTATATAGATATTTATACATTCAGACGATTCATTCATTCAGTTATTTGACTAACTCATGGCAAAGAAAATTTCATTAACAAGAGAAATACTGGATGAGAATGAGAAAGTCAATCAAGAATAATTAGAATACCTGTTCTTCTAGCTTGTTGGGATCCAATACACAATACTCGTCTTCTGCTAGACAAAAACTTATGGCAACTACAGAAAATAACTGTAACTATTTTTAGTACTCGAAACAATTTAATAAACATTATTTCACTTATATGAAAATGTGTATAATACATCATTCCTCAAAACATTACTGGGAAGCATGGCCATATATAATGTTTACCGGCAAGATATTTCAAAGGAATTCCAGCATCTACAAGGGCAGAACATGCTGCATTTATAGCACAAGGGAGAAGCTTAACAAAAGGTTAGTCAAGGAAGTTAACGAATAATGGCCTTCCAAACATGGAAATATTAACACGTGCCAAGCTTATATAAAACCCAACATCATATGATAGCATGAGATATTATTATTTTTTTTTCCCTTTAATACATCCGAAAGATGAATTTTCTTTCTTTACAAATGATAGTGCTTGTTTGGTTTTTATTATAAGTTGTTGAAATTATAACGCGATAGAAATGATTGGTGGATAAGTATATTATAGTTCTGGGTCTTATGAAATCTATAGTTAAAATTAAAATTTAACTTTTGACCTTTAAATTACAAGGAGATTATCCTATGTTTGGCTCATGTTTATATATAGTTTATAAATATTCAAGTCATTTTTTATCCACGCATTTAGAAGGATCAATAAGTGCTATTCACTTATTAACGACTCACTTATATTTATTTATAATTTAAAACGTTTATAAACTCTTCCCACACGTTCTATAATGGAAACCAAACAAGCTCCAAGTAGAAACCATAAAATAAAGTCCTTTAATGGAACTCATAATAACAGCTACAGGGGTGGTGATTTGCAAAATTTCAATTAAAGATAACAAGGTGAAATTTAATGTTTCCTTGATAAAGAAAAACAAGAATAATGAAGTAAAACACGAAAAGTGAAAGACAGGTAAAGAAACCAAAGTTTCCAAAATTCAGGCTAACAAGGTAAAATTTAACGTTTACTTGATAACTTTTTGTTTCATTTCTGTTCCTTGGTCAGAATTTATGTTTAATTAAAAACAGTCAGCAAGCACATTGAGAAACGCATACCTTCATAAATTTATTCATTCATTAAATTTCTTTAATTGGCAAATGAGCTTGCTATGCACAGTATACCTCAGAAATGCCCCATGCCATAGATTTAAAATCAGGTTCAGGAACCAGGAAAATCCAAATGCTGAATTAGTTGCATCAGAAAGCAAACAGTGTTGGCTCTATATATACCATTATTGCAGTAAATGAAGCTGCATAATCATGAAGGATACTGAACCATCATCATTAACAACCTGCATGAATGAGAAAGTTGATGAGTCACACCGAAGATATTAGTGCAACCAGAAAAAGAGACAAAAAAGTTGGATTAGAGAGAACCTGCAGAGTAAGTTAAGGTTGTAGATTAATTTTCTAATGTTTAACTATCAAATGAAACCAACAGCCTTTGCAGCATGTTGAAGCCTTAAAGCACAGGCCCAAAATGCTTGAATCTAAGTTTCAAGGTCATAGAAACCAAGATCTTATAAAACATTCACAAATCCGCAACACATCTTATGTGGGATGGGGTGGTACTTTATGATCTATAGTTGCAAATTTGAAAATAGTCATAAAATTCACAAGTAAGAAAAAAGGGATCGTTTTGGTGTTAAGGTAGCTAGCAAGAAAACTTTTAACTTCTTTATTGGAAAAGTTTTAAATTTCAGTGATCTTTATCTCTATCGTCTCATAGCTCCATATAGACCCTGATAGTACATCCTCCTTGCTGTTCAATATTTGTACCTGGATAATAATTGTTGTGGTGGTATTAGGATGAACATTCAAAATGCAGATATTTTGCAAAGTTCTCTTCAGTATCATCTCATACTCCTTTTCTGCTTTCCCTAGTATTTAGCAAATTCAATAAAACATTAGCCGATGGAAACAGCGTCAGCATCTAGAGCATCAAACAGAAAAATAGCAATTATTTATTACAATCAAAGTCAATATTCATTGAATTCAACCTGCACATGATGAAGTGGTGAAAACTTAACTTCATGAAATATTGACTAAGAAAGTAACAGCACAGCATGTTCAAAGTAGTAAATATGTGGAACATCCTCCCATAAAAAGATATATAGAATGAAAAGGACTTGAATACATGGACCATGCATCTCTTGCAAAATTGCAAAGTGGAGTTAAAATATAATGTGGAAATCAGCAATTAAGATATCTTATGAGCAAACATTTGAGAGGTACAATGTAGTGGCACGGTTTTGTAATTCTTTGCTTACAACTATACATATTAAGCCCATGTTTGATCCTCATTAAATTACATTTCATTACATTCTATTTTTCTCTCTCCTATTTTCAACCACACAATCTTCCATAAAATAATATTACACGTAAATCGAAAATTTTTCCTTCTTTTTCAACCACTCATTTTTTTAACAAAACACTATTCCCCCCATTTTCATTACCAAAAATGGGGGCCAAACGGGGGCTAACTAAGAAGTATCTTTAGGTTATAATAAAGAAATTAGAAAAAATTTCACCGATTTGGCCAGATTTGGGCTTCCAAATGACTTCAATACAAGCTTTTTCCGGATTCTCATTCTTTTTTGTCCCAGCCTTTGGCCCGTAAACTGCAGCAAGAATTTTGGTTTCCCCTAAAATCAAACAAAAACAACATTAATAAGCAGAGTAACGAGATTCTAAAACGGTATAATTGAATAATAATAAATCAAATTTCTTTTTTCCCAATATTCATCAGATAAAACACAACATAAATAATCAATATCAAGTCTCACTCTAAAAGATTCAGAAAAATAAGTGGTAAAAGTGATTATCCGACGGGAAATAGGTTTTTTTTTTCCCTTTAATTTCGAGCACTATAATTAGAGAAACCATAATAATCACAAAGCCATAAGGAAAGAAAAAGAAAAAAAAAAAAAAACATATGTATAATCACTGAAGCAAACGGAAAATTGTTTTCAAAAAACCAAAAAAGAGCCTACCCAAGAAAGTATATTGAAGTAATTAATTAATCAATTCAAAAAAAAAAAATAATAAATAAATAAGGCAAAACAGAAAGGGAAAGAGAATTCTTAAATAATTGTACCTTGAGAAAAACTAGCAGAGCCATGGGCACGGTTGAGAACGCTACGAGTACAACTCAGTGGTCTCAGCTGAGTGGCTGAACGCCCATCTTCTCCCTTTTCCTCCGTACTCTTCATTTTCTCTCTCAACACGCGGAGATAGTTATTTTGATAATTAATTTTTTGATAGCTAAAAATAAAAATAAAGTAGGTGAAATTCAAAATTAACTATTTAAATAGTGAAATAATGATAAAAAAAATAATTTTAATTAATTTTTAATCCTTAACAAATCTTGTGGTACGCGAAGTTGAATAGAGGAGTTTCTCGAGGGATAAAGAAATATTGCAACATAGTCCCCAAACTTTTATTCATTTTTTAATATTTATTCTTAGCTTTGATTTCTTGACATTAAGCCTCTTACCTTTGTGTTTCTATTGGGCGTGGGCAAAAATACCGTCCAAACTGACCAAACAAATCCAGTCAGGTCAGTTTGGATTGGTTTGGTTTGTTTATTTTTAATCATTAAAAAGTTGGATTAGGTTGGTTTCAGTTTAAGCAACCAACTAGTCAATTAATCGATCCAACCCTTTAATACATTTTTTTTAATTTTTAAACCCAAAAATAAAATAATAAAAACTCAAATATAATTTTTCTCAAATCATTTGTTTATCGTCTATGCTTTTTCCACCAAACCTCCAAATATCAAAAGTTACCCAGTGCACACCCGAAAAGTAGCGACTGCGAGTTCTCCCGTTACCAAAAAAAAGAAAAAAAAAGGCAATAAGAAATGTTTGATGTAAACTTCAAATTTGGATTGTAACCTTTCTTCTCATTTTGATGTAATTATTTGTTGGTAACTTTCAGATAGATAGGATGATTTCGGAAAAATCAATCCTTTATCATTTACATTATATATAATCGATATGCACTATGCAAGCAAAACAAACGTGTGTGTGTGTAGGAAAGTAAATTTTTAATCCAAAATGGGTAGATAATTTTTTTTAACGCGTACTAATGTTCAAACCGATTAACTGAACCAAACTTACCCAAATCGATTTGATTTGGTTCAATTTCAACAGTTGGATTGGATCGATTTGGGTTGGAATTTACCCAAATCGATTGATTTCGAATTGAACTCAAAACTAACACAATTTGAACTATGTTCAGGCCTATTTTCTATTAAAGCCATGTTTGGTGTCCATTGTTTTAAAATTCATTTTGCTATATAATCATTTTCAACCATACATTAAAATAATAAAATATTATGACCATGAACTCAAAAATTTTCCTCACTTTTTAACCACTCATTCTTCTAAAATACTATTCAAAACTCTTCTTCTTCTTTTTTTTTTTTTAAATAATGTGCACCAAACGGGGGCTAAAGATAATATAATATTTTTTTTTGTAAATTATTAGATTTTAATAATTGCATCGCATTTTAATTTCATTAAGATTTTTAACTTTTACTCGTTGTCATATTTATAATTACAATTTTTTTCTTTGCATTTTTTATCTTCAATATTTTATTAATTAGCACATGTGTCCTTGAAGACAGGTTATATCCAAAAATAATATTATTGTGTTTTCAAATAAGTGGACAAATACTTAAATTCACTATTGTATATATATTTTTTTAATATTTTTGCTTCTCAAAGCCATCAGCATTCATAATTATTGTAGTAGACGATAGATTCTACAACAGCGAAACTAGAATCGAATTATACCACAAGCCATCCTGCAGGACTCAAGAAAAGTAGAACAAGAAAGAAGGATAGTTAGAGATACTAAGTTGACACCAATGTGGTGTTGCTCGAAGACCCTTCTATGTTCAAGTCAATAAAATTTGCCGAAAATTATATGAATGCTAGATGGAAAGTAAGTAGAAATAGTTCAGATTTCAGAGTTGAGTAGATGAGGATACCTGAATGTTTAACTGGCTACATAATTTATAGGAGTGAGATAACCGTCTAGATGGGATTGGCGAGGATTTTCCAAAATTTTGTAATTGATTGAAGCTGAATTTTATCTGATCCATTCAGTTGAAATATCTAGACCATTTATAGATAACTCTCATGATTTGTTTAAATCATAGTGTGATATATTTTGATTGCTTAACGATAGAATATTAGATTAACTTGTGGGTCTTGAACTGTATCTCAGGTCGATTGGCATTAACAAGTTTGGCTGAAGGTGGCGCATTCGTGGACCTCGTTTCATGAATTCGACCGCTTAGGCTAATGGAATAATTTTTACCACTATAACTTGCTCCCCACACTTTAATAAGAGTTCACTTGGATTAAAGAGTAGATTAAGATCGAGGGGTGATCAGACCATTGGTTGGTATGCGCTTTTTCATAGGGCGGACCGTCTGATCGTATAATTTAGACCATTTTATGATTTGTACGGCTCGAAAGTCACTAGATTTTTTAATTCCATATAGCTTGGAAACAACACGACATAATTAGGAGGATTACCGTGTGACTTTCAAAATAGTGTCATTTTTTAATATTATATATATCATGGATGCACATGCACTAGCACGCAAATTACCACTCAGTAAATTGCAGAGTTGTCTTCTAATTTTTTTGTTTCATTTATTATTATTATTATTTATTTATTTATTTTGATACCGTATGGTACTATGAGAAATTATCGTACAGCTCGGCTCTGTGCGGTGTATGTTTGAAAAACTAATTTGGCGTAGTACAGTTCCGAGCCTTGTGGCCTTTACTACCACATTGCCGTGTCGTGATGAAATACTAAATACAAGTGTCATGTCACTCGATGTATGGAAAGTGCATGTATTATCACTCGATAATCCGTCGAGCGGTAATATATATGTAGAAAAAATTGTTGATCCATCTAGATTGTGTGGCATATTTTGCTTAGAGCATTAGCCAGATGGTAATCATGTACATCCAAAAGGTTGAGTACCACATTTGGTTGACGAATCTTGGCCAAATAGAGGAACAAGCAACTCTATCCATCTAGACAAAAGCCTTAGGCTAGATGACTATATAAGGTTGGACCATCCAGAAAAACCAACACTAGCAGGATTTATAGGTGATCGGGGATTTGTTCCTTTTATGAGGTCCATCGAGAAAGTATTTGTTGTTGGAAATTTGACTAATGCAATCAAAAGATCAAATAAAATAAGCAGAAAAAATAGAAAACAGTAGATGAAGCGAGGTATGCCAGCAAATATCCTTAAGACATATTTCGCTCCCCAATGAAATGCAAACGGGAGTATGGACGTCTGTCTCCCAAGATACAACGCTCCTTCCAAAGTTGATACTGCACAATACCAACCTTTGTCGGTCGAACCAATGAATGATCGTACTCGAACAGAATAACCACGAAAATATAAGAGAATTTTAGAGCAGAATATGAAGAGAGAAGAATTTAGAAATCAATTGAATTTGTAATTGATTTGGTGTATCAAAAAACGAATTTGGGGGGTCTCTATTTATAGAGATTGAAGTGTCTCATGGAACAGGTGTGTGACATTTCAGGAACTGGTGCACCACTTGGTCTGATTCGTCTTAGCCATTGGATCGCACTATTTTCATGATCTGACGGCCCAGATTGAACCATGAAGTGAAGTGTCCATTCATCATCCCCATTCACCAATTTCTGAATAGTCACAGCCATGCGGATGTCACGCGTACATCTAATCGCCACGCAGGACGAAAGGACGCGACCTACCACGCGTGCGTCACCTAGAATGCCAACTCACAGAACCTTACGCTGCCACGTCATCGAACCACGAGTCCATTTCTGAAAACTATAAGGCTCCCCAGCTCCTTCCTTGCGACGATGCGTACGTGCGAAGTGCCAAGTGCGCCTCTAAAGCGCCCAATACGTACTTTACGACGTGCGCGTGCCGGGACCGAGTCTGGGGAGCGGTGCGAGTGGCGCGAAGCACCACTCTAGTGGTGACTAGCCTTTGGCTAGCTAAAGTTAGCCAAGTGATACGTAACTTATTAAATTATATATTATTCACACAACCCACTATATAAATAAGACTATTTTCTTGTAAACTTTCGATGTGGGATTCCTTTCCATATATAAAACACTTAAAATGGGCTTATCAACATATGGGCCTATATTGGAGATTTTTCCAATTCACCCAAATTAATTGCAATGACTCACATCATTAAATATTACATTTAATGTTTTAACCCAATTACATTCAATTAATTCCAACAATCCCTCACATGAATGGAAGAAGTCGACTCAAATCAAGGAAGACGGAAGAAGTGTACCATCTGAAAAATAACGCATCAAGATAGGTAACTTTCACTTTGAACCTTCTTTAGTAAGAATCTATCGAACTCACTTGGCTAATCAGTGAACGCAACGTTTTGAACTGTCAGCCGTTATTGCAAGCTCAGACAATAGACCAAACACATTATCTCTCATATCAAACTTGGTTCTCTATTGTGTTCATTATTTCGGCCTTGAACTACTTGGGTTCTGCGAGTGCTTTAGAGAATTCGCCTAAGTAAATTCTCATAGAACCGGCCAAGTTCGCACTAACATGGGTGATGTACTATGAGGAGTACCCTACTGTAATTACTTGTACCATTTATAGTCATCATTAAAAGCAAAGCTTATCCTTAATACACTTCATAGTCAGCACTTTTTGCATCGTAGAAATGGGAAAGAGTTAAACTCCTAAGTGCTTCTTATCGAGTCATTCATAATTAGTTTTCCTATTAAACCTAGTCCATGGGATCTCCAGTTGCCAGGTTAGGTTTCCACTAAGATAACTCATTGGGTTTTAGGCTTTAAACCTATTTCCCTCGATGCGCAGTCTGTATGCTCTCTAGATAACCCTTTAGTGAACGGATCCGCTAGGTTTTCTTTTGACTTAACAAAACCAATTGATATTGTTCTATTTGAGAGCAACTGCTGAACAGTGTTATGTCTACGACGTATATGTCTCGACTTACCGTTATACACAAAATTTTCAGCCCTTGCTATTGTGGCCTGGTTATCACAATGAATACAAATAGTCGGTACAGGCTTTGGCCATATAGGAATATCTTCTATGAAATGTCTTAACCATTCTGCTTCTTCTCCTGCTTTGTCTAAAGCAAT